TAACTACAAACAGTAGTAGATATAAACTTGAACTATGCAAGCTGTAATGGTTTAACACACGGATACCTCAGGAGTATCACAGTGTACCTTGAGTAACTGGAATGACTATTTTGGAACACTCAAGTAGATGTAAGCATGAGAACAGTGAAACTCTGTACTTCAAGTCACAGAGCTCAGTGCAGAAAACTGCTCAGAGCTGAAATCCTCATTCAGAGTAAGCAAAGAAATTGGAGATTTCTAAGAAATTAAGCAAGGCTGCAGAACTGGGCTTGATCCTGCATGTCTCGCTGGCAAGTTCAGCACCATGTTCAACTGGTGAGAGCAGACCTCAGGGCGTTTGTTTTGTTGGGTTTTGGGGAGTTTTTTAAGCTGTCAGTAGATCACTCCTAGCAGTCAGTGTGTCTGATCATTCAGAAAGTGTCCAAGTGCCAAAGACACTGCAAATTTATCAGCTACACTCATTCTCTTTAGTTTTCACAGACTCATTACATTTCTGAGTCAGAAGGAAAGAACAATCTCAAAGGAACCCTGCATACCTTAACTCCACTCGCATGTAATTCATTGGCAATAGAATTAAACCAAAGAGCTTAAGGGTACTATTTTCAAAAGACAAACAAAGCAGTCTATGCAATCATAAACCAAGAACTGAAACAAATGTTGTCTCTGACATTCAGTTACTCAGAGGAAAGTTAATTCAGGCAGACTACAATTAAAAAGTTACGGCTTAATAAAAGACTGTGTAAAATGCGATCAAGTTCACACTGGAAAAGGGATTTTAATGGCAATCCTTTAAACTTATGATTTAAAAACTTGGTCTTAATTCCTTTACGCATTTTTATTTCTGTATTTTTTTTTTAAAAAAGACCTAAAGAAGAGAAATAGCAGACACTTCTTGGAAAAACCAGAACAATGCAGTAAGCTCTACACAGAACACTCCACACCACAGACAGCACAGTAGCAAATATCACTTGTCCAGCTCAGTTTAGCTCCTTTCCAAGTCCTCATAGAACCACTTCTATGCAAAATGACATCTGTCAGCAGAGGCTGTGGTTTCACAGTTGAGGTTTTGCCAGCAGAGGCTATTTTACAAGACAGCAAAACTCTTAAATCGGTTTGGGGAGACAAGAAAAAAACCACAAACATTAGTACTTAGTTCCCTGACTTGATACCAATCATCCTTTCTATTCAGGAGCATCCAATAAACCGTAATGAGGTCCTCAAATATGCTTTTCATTTTGCCCACATAATCACACAATCACAAGGTGCTTCCTCCCATATAGCAAGACAGTGTAACATACCAGAAATACTCAAAAAAATCTACACCTGCAATATTCTCTATCTCAGCATCTTTTCCAGGTCTAAACATAAAAGGACCTTTTCTACATGGATCCCCCTTCAGCCCATTCAAGGGTCACTCCATTCATCCTGTTCTCACTGAGCTGCAAGGCAAGGAGCTCACCCTTTCTTTACCTTCTTCTCATATCCTGTAAAAAATAACATAGCCTCAAAGAGCAGCAAATTCATGCAGTAAAATATATATACAAATATTTTACTGCATGAACGTATAAGTATACACACAAACTGTCTCCAAACAGGAAATATCAGGAACTTTACTCACGTCAAAACAAATCTGAATTAGTGGCCAGAACAGCCTTACGTCAGTCCAAAAGCACATTAACCATAGCCACCTCTTGGTGCTTGGTAAACAGCCATCACTTTTAGGTTTCCAGCCACCAGCAATCTTACAGACTCAAAACCAGAAGTTACAGAAATATCTCTGTTAATTGTGTTTAAGGGATTCTTCTTCCTTTACTTAAATGGATTCTTAAGCTTCATTATACTGTTGGCATCCGTAGAAGCCTACGAGAAGTTTTACAACTCAGTTTAATGCAAGGGGTCTGTACATCCCCAGCACCCAGAGGTCTGTGGGGAGTCCCTTTCTCCTTTATATCACACAGAACAAACAACAACAGATTTTCCCTCCCTCATACAACTTTTTCCCTCTACAAACAAACCCTACAGGTAATAAATCACTTGCAGAACGTGTATTCTTGACCGAGGTCTTTGGCACACGTCACAGCAGAAGATTTTAAGCACATACTAATGCCAAGGCAGTGCCTTTCTACCCCAGCCAATGCACAAGACAAAAGAGAAAGTGAAATAGTTACAGAGTGTAACAAGCATCCTTCACCAACGCTTTCCAAAACAAGCTTTAGATTCCAAGCAAAGAGCACAGCTTCTCCTCAGCGGGATACAAGGCCACAAGAAATTGAAAGAGTTTAGAAGAAACACTCGTTTCAAACATAACACCACAAAAGGTCACAGCAGCTACAGAAGCACACCAAGAAGTGCAGACACTCAGCACATCCTAAAGACAGCAGCCACAGCCTTTATCTGCAGCAGCCATCAGGAGATTTCTGATTGCTCGCTCCTCTACAGTTTCCTCACACAATCATAAGAACTGGAGTGAAACAATTTAAAGCTTTTTATGGGGGAGTTTTCCTGCAACACAGATATATCCCAACCAAATCATCATTCAGCTATAAACAACTGGCTTATTTAATTTAAACAAGCAATACAACCAATATATTTTTTAAAATCTAATGTTTTCCTTTACATTCTAGCAAGCACCAAAACCAGTTTGCAGAACCATCACAACGATATCAGACCTTTATAAAAGTGTTCCAAGCACACTCGTACATAAAGATGAAGGTAAAAGGTACTATACAGCAGTCAATTAATTAAAAAGCCAAATCCTGTATTAGTCTAAACAAAAATAAACCTGATGGTTCCCTGAAATAAATCGGTTGCAGACTTGCAAACCAAGTTCTTATGTCTCTGGTGACTGCATGAAGTTTTGAGCAGAGGGTGCCAGTTTTTGTTTCGCAATTTAAGAGTGGCAGTTGGCTGCTCTCAACAACAAATCTTCGCCCTTCCTTTGGAAGCAATATTTAAGAAATGGAGGTTGAAAGCACAGAGAGCCAAGCTGGTCACAGCTCCACCAGATCTGTGTTGACTGACACAAACTAAGAAGCTGACCCAGAGAGTCAACACTTTAGCCAGCGTTTAGAGCCATAAATCTGAGCCATAAATCTGTCTTCAAGTTTTATATTAAAAGTCTGCTTACATTTTCATAGTCCTTCATGGTCCGAGCTCTAGTTGGTGAGACTGTATCTTCTGCCACATCTGGTACCACTAGACATTGAGGAAGACAGAACAAGTTCAGACAGCAGAACCTCTAAGCCAGGCTTCAATTCAGAAACAGCAGAGCCATGCGCTAATCTAAACAGAATAAAAGCACACCACCTTTTGGGACGCAAGGGAGGCTTTGTTTTGCCCTTTATTTACATTAGATGTTAGTGCTACTAAGTAGTTAGTGTCTAGATTTCTTCCTGATCACAATGAGTTGTCTATCGCTTAAGCTCCCAAATTCCAACATCATCCATTTAAACCAAGCTGCACACTGAACATCAAGCTGCGTGAGGTGCACTTTCAAGAATAAGTCCTTAGTTCAACCACAAAGGACTCCCATATTAGAATTAAGTCCCATTAAACTATTAGAAAGCAGTTCAAATCCTTCAGCATCTTACTGGTCACAGGACAGGCCCCCACCTTAGACCTGGGGAAACCACGGACAGGGGGAATAGTCAGCATCTATGTTCCTAAAATGTAACCCCTCCTGAATCTACCTGGACTTAAACTTCTGTTTGCACACACGTTCTGTAACAGCCACATTTAACAGGATCACATATTTCCCATCAAATCTGTGAGAGTAAACTTCTAATGAGAATAATGAGATTGTACAACTCATGCAGCTTTTACATCATCCTAAATAAAAAGGAGAGGTAGCTGAGGACTCAGACTGACTCTCATACTAGCTAAACAAAACATTTCAGTTAAAGTACTTCCAGAATTATTGTGCAACTCCGTAAAGCAGCCTTGAAAATAACCCAAAGAATACCAGCCAGTGGTTTTTAAATCATGACACTAATTAATTCCACAAGCCAGCTTTCCTAGAGCTCATGCAGAATACAGTAACACTATTCTGCAGCATTTGTGTGTTTCTAATGTTTGCTTCTTTTTGTGAGCAAGCAGATCTTCCTTGAGAACCATCTGATTTGTCTTAGTTTTAATTACCTGCTTCATCTGTACAATGAAGTCTACCAAGTTATGTTGCTGGATACGTGCACGCATAAAGAAAAATCAAAACCATACACCCCAAATTTACGTAGCAGAGCAGGGAATACTTAACCACACAGACAAGCTACAAAATAACACTATCCAGCCATTTTACTTTAAAATAAGTGTTTCAGGCAAGCCTCCCACACCTGAAGATGAGCACAGTTACATGTACCTCATGTAGAACGAATTACAGCTTCTGTTCAACAGGAGCTGGATAGGAAGAATTTTTAATGCATGCATAGATAAAAGCAAAGAGACTGCGTGCAGCTCAGGTCTGCGGGCAGGAAGCAACTTTGAACAGCTGAACTGGAAAACTTAATGATGCGCTACAGGCAACTTCCCTAAAACTGAGCAGAAGATGAAACAGTGGCATTGCCTTGCTGGGCATTGTAAGTATTTTAAGTACACGCTCCACAAAACCGCTGATCGTCTTATGTAAGACTGTGAGCCATCATGACCACAGGCAACAGAGCGGACAGCACCGACTGCAGCAGTTGCTGGCGTTTTATAGTCTTAAAAAGACAGAACTTACATAAAGCTGCATCACTTTAAAACATTTTCTGCCTTTTTTCCCTTCAGACATAAAGTTTTCTCCCTGATGTTTCGAGGCCCACACGAAGCACCGAGCCCTGGCAGAGGCGGTATGGGCTCATCCCCAGCCGGGACAGCGCGGAGAGAAGCTCGGCTCCCCCAAGCCAGGCGGGAAGGCTTCGTGCCGGGCTGCCGGGGCCATGGGGGCCTGACCGCCGCCTCCCTGC